GCCGACACCGACTGGATCACGTCAAATGGGCTCTGGTGGTATTTGACCGCGCGACCGAACTGATCAAACTCAGATGTCGCGTTCTTTCTCTGCTTTGTATTTTCCAGACGTGATGACCATGGGGTGGGCGGCGGCCAAAGCCCAGATCCCGCGGACGTTCGCGTAGTGCATGCGCGGCGTCAATGGCCCCCCAGCCGCGCCAGAGGCAGCGGAGTACTGGGGCAACACCACCGGCTTGCCACTCAGGCGACCAGCCACTCGGACCACCTCTGCAGTGGGCACGAGGAACGGCGGAAGCCACCATTCTTGGACAACCCTGTCATTGTCGATACTGGCGCACGCGAACCACGGACTCTGGCCGCTCGGCCCTGGCCGAGGAGCCTGCGCGAAAGTAACCCCGCCCACGGCTCGGATGGGATGTCCGACCCGCCAGGTCCTCCAGGACTCGGCTACTGACACCACTCGGTCCAACGCGCCAGAGGCAGCGTTCTGCTGCTGGCCGCCGCGGTGACTCATCATGGCAAAGGCGCCGCGAGCGCGCCTTCCCGGCTCGATCCTGCAAGTGCGACGGACATGCGGGAGGGGCAGGAGGAGGAAGAGCAGCAGGTGAAGCATCAAAACGAGCAGCAGCAGCACAAGCAGCAGTAACATTGAGGAGCAGCCTCAGCAGGAGGGAGCGAGCAGCAGCAGCAGTAGAAGAAGCGGGAGAAGAAAGAAGAGGAGAAGCAGCAGCCGCAGCACCACAAGCAGCAGCAGCGGAAGCATCAGCATTGGGGGGCAGCCTCAACAGAGGGAGGCTGAGGAGGAGGAGCAGCAACAGCAGCAGCAGCAGCGACAGAAGCAAGACGATGAGGAGGAGGAGGAGGAGCAGCAGCAGCAGCAGCAGCACTAGCAGCAGCAGCAGCAACAGCAGCAGCAGCAGCGAGGAGCAGCCTCGGGAGGAGGAGTCGGGGGAGGAGCAGCAGCAGCACGAGCAGCAGCAGCAGGGGCAGCGGCTTTCAGGAGGAGGCGGAGCAGCAGCAACAGCGGCAGCAGCAGGCGAAGCTGGAGGAGGCGGAGCAGCAGCAGTAGCAGCAGCTGGCAGCAGCAGAAGATGGGCCCGCCTTTTTTTCCCCGCGCGCGGCTGCGCACCAGCAAGGCAGTCCAGAGCGCATCGCACGAAGCCCTGGCCGGGGGAACCGCGCGCCAAAGGAAGGAAGCGCCAGAGGCAGCCTGCAAGCCACTGCTGCGTGAAAGGATATCAGCGCCAGAGGCAGCCTGCAAACCAGTAAGGGGATCAACGTCAGAGGCAGCTGGAAGCGGTCACACTCCTGCTCGCTCCTTTTGATGTATTTCCTGGTCGCGGAGCCCCAAACGAACTTCGACTTGTGCTTGTGCTGGTCGACCAGGATCGGCAGATCCATGCAAAGCTTGCGCATGTCAAAAGCAGTGCATAACGCTGCGCCCATGTAGAACAAGCGGGCGAGCGCGACGACTTGACCAACCCGGATCTCCACATCGAACTCATGTCTCCAAGGAGGCCGAGCGCCAGAGGCAGCGGACCCCCAAGGAGGCTGAGGCAGGCGGGCCCGACGGAGCAGCGTCGCCTGGCCACCATCTGTGTCCAAAACCTACGCAGCCTCTGCCACGTGAGTCAGCCGTCGGACTTTCGATTGAACAGCCACCTCCGCGTCACCTCGGTCCATGCGAACTGGGAATGCCAGAGTCTCGGATGAAGAACATCGCGACCAGTCCAGATGCTTCCAGCCGAAGTCCTGGAGGACTCTGACTTCCCCGTCGTGCAAGTGCTTCAAGAACTTAGGAACGGTCGCGATGTTCCAATCAACGCGAAGCAACTGCCACGTGGGTGAATCCCGCGGCAAGCACTGGACGAGCGGACCACCGCCAGAGGCAGGTTTCAAGCGTGGCCAGGCGAGGGCACATTTCTCCGCGAGAGAAACGTTTCCCAACTCCCCCCTGAAAAGGTTCAGATGATGCATCTTCTGCGACCTGAAAGTCTCACAATGTCCTACCACTCATCCTGTCACTCGACCTTGTCGCTGAAGTGCTTTACGCCGTTGATGATATTTGGAAGGTTCGGAATGGGAAGGCATTCGCCGTGCAGGAGGACGCGACGTCGCCTGCTCCTCGCGAGGTTTCCACTGCACAGCTTAGCTACTGCTTCCTTTGGCCAACCTCGGTAATCCATAGTTTAAAATGAGTCTGCGTCAACTTAAGATTCCGCGTGGCGCCAGAGGCAGCAGGAGAAACAGCACCAATGGCGGCGGCAGGCATTGCGCCAGAGGCAGCACCACGCACTGCGCCAGTGCTAGCACCACGCTCCGCGCCAGAAGCAACGTCTTCCCTGTCATAGCCTCCGCGGTCCGTTTTGCTCCCAGAGCTGCTGTCGCTGTCGGAGTCGGAGTGGCTCTGCCCCGAAGAGCCGTCGGATTCTTTCGCCGCGTCGACTAGATACGTAGGTCCAATCTTCTTGCGCCCCGCCTCCGCGGGCTCCGCGCCGCCTGATCCCGCGAGCGCGCCAGTGGCAGCTTCGGGGCGGCCGCTGGTTCACGACCCACCCTCGTGCATGGGAAAGACGCCCTGCACATCCAGCTCGCAGGCGTCGAAGAAGACCTGCCGCGCAGCAAGCGGGGCAGAGCCGAAACCATGGAGGCAGGAAGGCCGGCGCGAGGATCAGAGGAGCTGGACTGCGCATCGGGGAACGCCGCTGCAGGGGCCGGAGCACAAGGGCGGCGGCGGCGAGGAGAAATAATGAGACAGCAGGGACAAATCCCACCAGCCCTCTGGGCGCCGGTGGTTTAGAGCGCATCCTCCTCCACCCCTCCTTCTCCCACTTCGGGGAGGGTTTACCCCTCCCCCTACCCCCTCCCCGCTGACCTGGACGGGGGGGGCCGCGGGTAGTTAGAGCGTCCAAGAACGACCCCTGGGAGGGCTAAAATTCGACACCCCTCACGAGGATCGCGCCCCCCAGGGGGGCGACGCTAAAAAATGTTCCCCCTTCTGCGATCGACGTCCTCCAAGAGGGCCTCAAGAGACGTCTCGGACTCTCCTCTCGCGCCCTGCGCGCGGGCGGGCGGGGCGCCGCCCGCCCGCCCGCGAGGCCCAAGAGCCCACCAGAACGTTGAAAGATACCTCCAAGACGCCACCAGGGAAGAGGAAGAGGCGGAGGAGGAGGAGGAGGAGGAGGAGGAAGGGAGGAGGAGGAGAAGGCGGAGGAGAAGGAGGAAGAGGGGGGGCAGAACAGCTGCCGATCATCGGCGCTCTTCGCCCGAGTGCCTGGTGTAGGATGGGCTGGCGGGGATGCGCGAAGCGTCAAGAATTTGATTAGGGGGGGGTTCCCACGCTGACCTTCACACCCGAATGTAACACATGCGCCTCGGCAGCTGCTCGGCCCACCTTTAGCTCGCCACCTGGAGGCCCGAATCGCTCTCCCACATCATCATAATGAGGCGAGGGAGACCGCGCGTAGCGGGGGGGCGAACTGGCGCGATGGTCAGGGCGGGCTGGTGTTCTGCCCAACCCGCGCCCACGTGCCAGCTGTCCACCATGCGCGCGCCCCCCCCGGCGACCACGATGGAGCCGGGGCAGCCAGGCCACGGCGCAGGCGACGCCTGCGCCATGGCCCCGCCCAACCATCCGCGGTTCTCCACCCGCCTGCCCGGCGGCCCCCTCCGCGGGAGCCCATGGCCGATGGCGCCGATGTCCCGCAGGCGCCACGGGGCGCCGAGCCCTCGGGGCGGCGGAGGGCCGAGCTCGACCGCGAACACGAGGGCCACGCAGGGCGGCATCGCGCACCGCGATCAAAGAGCTCAAGCAAGACATGGCAATGAAAGGGAACGGCGAGAAAAGGTCGGGAGGACGGCAGGAGGGGAGGCAGGGAGCGGGGCCCGAAGAGTGGCTGGGATGGTGGCGGGCGGATGCACGACAATGTGTGAAAAAAACGTAGGGTTTGATGTGATAGGGGGGAATCTAAACTGGTAAGATAGAACAGCTCTGAAGCAATGGCAGACGGGGCGCTATCGAAGTCACGCATGATCTCGGTATCGATATCAAAATACTCACGTTTTGATTGGCATCATTAGCTATGCACTCTCCACCCTCCCACTATCTAGTCACTATCCGTCGTTGTCTCACAGCAATTACCGACATCGCTGCCCCCCTTGTCCACGCGCCCCCCCCCCACCACACCCCCCCCCTATGATAATTTCGTGAAAACTTCAGAGGGGACGAGCAACAGCAGCAGCAGGAGAAGAAGCGGGATAAGCAAGAAGAGGAGAACCAGCAGCCGCAGCACCACAAGCAGCAGCAGCAGATGCAGCAGCATTGGGGGGGCAGCCTCAACAGAGGGAGGCTGAGGAGGAGGAGCAGCAACAGCAGCAGCAGCAGCGACAGAAGCAAGACGATGAGGAGGAGGATGAGCAGCAGCAGCAGCACAAGCAGCAGCAGCAGCAGCAGCAGCAGCAGCCCAGCAGCATTGAGGAGCAGCCTCGGGAGGAGGAGTCGGAGGAGGAGGAGCAGCAGCAGCACGAGCAGCAGCAGCAGGGGCAGCGGCTTCCAGGAGGAGGTGGAGCAGCAGCAACAGCAGGAGCAGCAGGAGAAGCTGGAGGAGGCGGAGCAGGAGCAGTAGCAGCAGCTGGCAGCAGCAGCAGAAGATGAGCCTGCCTTCTTTTTTCCAGCGCGCGGCTGCGCACCAGCAAGGCAGCCCAGAGCACCTCGCACAGAGCCCGAGTCGGGAGAACCGCACGCCAAAGGAAGGATGCGCCAGAGGCAGCCTGCAAGCCATTGCTGTGTGACAGGATATCAGGGCCAGAGGCAGCCTGCAAACCATTGGTGTGTGAAAGGGGATAAACGCCAGAGGCAGCTGGAAGCGGTCACACTCCCGCTCACTCCTGCCTGATGTATTTCCTGGTCGCGGAGCCCCAAACGCACTTCGACTTGGGCTTTTGCTGGTGGGCAAGGATCGGCAGATCCAGGTAAAGCTTGTACATGTCAAAAGCAATTCAGAACGCTGCGCCCATGTAGAACAAGTGGGCGAGCGTGACGACATGACCAACTCGGATCTCCACGTCGAACTCCTTGCTCCATGGAGGCCGAGCGCCAGAGCCAGCGGCTCTCCAAGGAGGCGGAGGCTGGCGGGCCCGACGGAGCAGCGTCGCCTGGCATCATCTGTGTCCAAAACCCACGCAGCCTCTTGCAACGTGAGCCTGCCGTCGGACTTCCGATTGTACAGCCACCCCCGCGTCACCTCGGTCCTAGCGGACTGGGGGTGCCAGAGTCTCGGGCGAAGAACAACGCGAGAGCTCAGATGCTTCCAGCCGAAGTCCTGGAGGACTCTGGCCTCCCCGTCGTGCTTGTTGAACAAGTGCTTAGAGAAGTCAGGAACTGTCGCGATGTTCCAATCAACGCGAAGCAACTGCCACGTGGGCGAATCCCGCGGCAAGCACTGGACGAGCGGACCACCGCCAGAGACAGGTTTCAAGTGTGGCCAGGCGTGAGTAAGCCAACATTCCCCCCTGCCCTCCGCGAGAGAAACGTTTCCGAACTCCGCCCTGAAAAGGTTCAGATAATGCATCTTCTGCGGCCCGAAAGCCTTCACAATGTCCCACCGCTCGTCCTGGCGCTCGGCCTTGTCGCTGAAGTGCTTTATGCCGTTGATGATATTTGAAGGGTTCATAATGGGCAGGCATTCGCCGTGCAGGAGGGCGATGAGCCGGGAGACGCGACGCCGCCTGCTCCTCGCGAGGTTTCCACTGCGCAGCCAAGCGACTGCTTCCTTTGGCCAACCTCGATAATCCATAGAATGAACCCGCGTCAAATTAAGATCCCGCGCTGCGCCAGGGGCAGCAGGAGAAACAGCACCAATGGCGGCAGCAGGCATTGCGCCAGAGGCAGCACCACGCACTGCGCGAGACGCAGCACCACGCTCCGCGCCAGAGGCAACGTCTTCCCTGTCAGAGCCTCCGCGGTCCGTTTTGCTCCCAGAGCTGCTGTCGCTGCTGGAGTCGGAGCGGCTCTCTTCCGAAGAGCTGTCGGATTATGAGGACAAGCCGGCTAGAAACGCACGTGCATTGCGCTCCGCCTCCGCGGGCCCCTCGCCGCCTGATCCCGCGAGCGCGCCAGAGGCAGCTTTGGGATCGCCGCTCGCCCACGACCCACCCTCGCGCATGGGGAAGACGCTCTGCGCATCCAGCTCGCAGACGTCGAAGAAGACCTGCCGCGCAGCCCTGACGCACGCGTCAATCCAGCATGCACCTTTCCTGCTCGGCCGCCACCAAAGAGCAAACATGTCCTTGTGGATGCCCTTCGTGGCAAGGCCCATGTAAATGACCTTTCCACCCCCTGCCAAACTGACTGGTAGGATGTACGGGCTCTGGTAACCATCGTTTGCGCGGCCTCCGCTATCCCGCACACCTTTGACCCACGTCTCCTTGCGATAGATCAGGAGAGTCGCCGCGAGAGGATGCTCGCTTGCCAACGCCCACATGCGGCCCACACTCACGGCGCGCTGCATCTGCATCGTCGCGCCAGAGGCAGCGGCGCCAGGACAGACATCATAGACACGCAATGGGAGCTCTCTGCCAACTGGCTCGACAAGCGGAGGAACCCGCGCAGACATGGGGATCCAGACCTGGTCGCCGAGAAACTTGCCGCCCCGCATCCTGCGCGGGAAAACCCCTCCCATCACGTTCCTCTGGAACAGCAGGGGGGGCCCTGTCAATATGCGGAGCGGCCGCCCAACGTGATCTCTTGGTGGGCGCTCGCTCTTCCACCGCAGCACGCGGCTGGCCAGGCCCCCCACCACCGCCCCATCGCAACCGTCCTCGGCGCCAGAGGCAGCCGCTTGCGAGCTGCGCGGGCGCTTCCCCATGATAACGCGCGCGATGCGCGCGATGGCGGCCGCCAAGAAAAGAGGCGCACTCGAGCCGAACAGGCTGCGATTGACAACAACGAGTCTGCGGGCGAGGGCGTGGCTGACTAAGACCACGCAGTAGAGGAAGCAGGCAGAGGTGACCAGCGGGAGGCGGGGGCGCTAAGCCGAGGATGAAGACAACCCCGGAGCAGGGGGCGACCATGAAATCTGAGGGCGGGGGCGACGCTGAGGATGGAGATGACCACGGAGCTGGTCAGAATACAGAAGGTCAGGCTGATGTCGCAAGCAACGCGAGGACCACGCGGGAGCTCGCGCGAGGATGGGGTGGAGCAGATACACATTCACAGGAAGATCTTTCCATCACGGGCTAACGCATAAGAGAGGTCTCTCCGCTATCTGCGCAAGGATGAAGGGGCGCCAGAGGCAGCCACAGATTTGCGCCAGAGGCAGAAACTGTCAGCGCGGCATCCGCATCACAAAGAAGCGCTCCACCCTGTCAACGCCAAGAAGGTGCAAACACCCTCCTTCGCGGAAGTGCTCGGCCAGAGCTTCGACGCGATCCGTGTTCAGCGCAAACTTGAGCGCGCGCCGCGCGAGCGCCATGCACAGAAGTGGCATTTCTGCCGGGACGGGCCGCGAAGAGTGGTCGTCGCACAAATCCATAGCGCCCCCCAGGGCGCAATACACGGCACCCAGTCCCACGCCAGAGGCAGCGAATGCCGCATGAGGCATTTCCGCGATGAACATTATCTGCAAACGCATGCGAACGGCGCCCCAGCACTCGGACCCCCACCCCCGCACAAGAGGCATGGTTTTGCGCAGCTCGAATCGTGAATTTCGAGCAAACTGCGCCTGCGCAACAAACAACAAGAAGTCCAGGACGCTCGAAAGACGACTGTCCCGGACGACGTGCCAGTTGGGCAGTGGCCGCAAAACTTCAGCGCGCCAACGCGGGCGCTTACGACTAGGACGAGTACCACCGTAAGAAACGGCGCCAGAGGCAGCCGAAGAATCCGCAGCAGCAGCGGGGCTCGAGAGTTCAGCCTGCTTTGCGCATAGCCTCCGACGTGGAACCTCCGCACGCGCAGAAATGATGCCCAAGTCACCCTCTACAATAACAGGAGGTGCTGGCTGTGGCGCCTCTTCACGCCCGATCACCTCCTCAGTGTTCTGGGAAAGACGGAGGAAGCACACCAGATCATCAAGGTCGTACTTAGCGCCAGAGGCAGGCCAGACGTCCCCAGATATGGACTGGCAAACTTCGACGGCGCCCTGGTACTGGAGATCTCCTGCAGCCGCAACCCCCTCTTCCGCGCCAGAGCCCATGCCAGCAAGCACATCCCAATCCCTCTCGGATAAAGTCGGTCGAACATCCTCTGCCTTGAAAAGCCAGCGCAAAAGCGTTGCGCGCCCATGCATCGCCTTCGCCCACAACCGTGCACAACGCAGATGCACCTCGCAAGTGGTATACGATGCGCCAGAGGCAGCACTTGCGCCAGAGGCAGCAAAGGATGCCGTCAGCTTCTTCGCGGCATCCTCTAAGCGGCCACTTCGCAATTCCCCCATAAAGATCTTGATCTCCTCCTCCGCTAGTCTCCTCTTGGTCGGATTCATCACGAGGTAGTAGGAAAAGATGCCAGCGGCGCCGCCGCCCAAAGCACGCACCTGACGGCGCGGCGCGATGTCCACGGTGCCCTCGTTGGCATTGCATACGGCCGAGAACTTATCTGGCTGAAGAATCACCATGGCCTCTCGCCACGCACGTTCGTGCAAGGCTGCTCGGCCCTGTGCGTCGGCCACCTGGAGTTTGCCCTTGCGCCGCAGCAGATTGTTGAGGATGCACGCGACTGGCCACCTCCAGTAGCAGGGAAACGCTACGCAGAGAATCTCCAAACGCAACGCGCCAGAGGCAGCGAATGTTCTCGAAGCACCATACCTGCCGCCATACCCCCTAAAGTGCGTTCCATTGCGCACGGGGCGGAACTGATGGCAATCCTGAGTCTTGCACGACCCGTCGTCGCGAGCACGCTGCCCGCAGATGGGGCACCAATGCACCATCGCCGAGTAAAGCGCCAGAGGCAGCACCGAAACTCATGCGCCAGAGGCAGCAGGCGCGCCAGAGGCATCGCTTCAGTTAATCTATGCGCTCGCCTGCGGAACCGGGGAACCTGCGGTGCGTTCGCCTCGAGCGGGTGGCTGTGTCGCTGGCCTTGAGCCCGAGCTGCGTCTGCCCTGCTGTTCCTGCTGCTGCTGCTCCTGCTGCAGCTGCTGGTCCTGCTGCTGCTGCTGCTGCTGCTGCTGTTGTTGCTTCTCCTTTTCCTGATCCTCCTCCATCCTCCTCCTCCTCTCCTGCTCCCAGCCCCCGCCTCCTCCTAAGCCCCCTCGCCTGGCGAAGGCGAGCGAACCCGATTTTTGTCCTCGACTTTTACAAACAACCGAGAAATACATGCAACATCTGCAGACAGCCCAAGGAATGTTAGTCGCCAGCGTGGCCAACAGCCGGGCTGCGAGTCTGAATTCTGCACTCGCCCGAACTAGTCCCACCAGCCCTTTGGGCGTGAGTGGTTTAGAGAGCCCGCTCTGTTCTCAACCCCCTTCTTCCCCTTCGGGGAGGGGGTCACCCCTCCCCCTACCCCCTCCCCCTGGGCCTGGAGAGGTCCCTCCGCGGGTCGTCAGGGGAGTCATTTTCGACTCCTGGGAGGGCTAAAAAAACGACACCCCTCACGAGGATTCTGGCCTCGACGGGGGGGGGGGGAGAAAAAACCCTCTCCTCTTCTTTGAAGCCAGAATCATTGATTTTACTACGGTTTTGGCCCCATTTTGGCCTTCCGGTGGGGGCAGCGCTCAATAAAGCCCCCCTCTTCTTTCAAGGCAAAATCATTGATTTTACGAAGGTTTTGGCCTCATTTTGCCCTTCTGAGGGGGCAGCGCTCATTAAAGCCCCCCTCTTCTTTGATGGATTCCCTCCAAGATGGCCCCAAGAAGCACCCAGGAGGCACCAAGAGGCCCCAAGATGGCCCCAAGAGGCCCCCAGGAGGCCCCCAAGAGGCCTCCAAGAGGCCCCCAAGATGCCCCCAAGAGCCCCCCAAGAGGCCCCAAGAGGCTCCCCCGAGGCACCCAAGACGCTCCTGGAAGCCCCCGGGGCCGCCAAGAGGCCCCCAAGACGCCCCAAACGGCCTCCAAGAGGCTCCCAAGAGGCCCGAAGAGGCTCCCCCAAGGCACCCAAGACGCTCCTAGAAGCCCCTGGGGCCGCCAAGAGGCCCCCAAGACGCCCCAAAAGGGGACGAGGTGCCCGAACGCCTCACGCCACGAGGGGCCCGAACGACTCACACCAGGACGAGGGGCCCGAACGACTCACACCACGAAGAGCCCGAACGACTCACACCAGAAGGAGGGGCCCGAACGACTCACACCAGGACGAGGCGCCCGAACGACTCACACCACGAGGAGCCCGAACGACTCACACCACGACGAGGGCCCCGAACGACTCACACCACGAGGAGCCCGAACGAGTCACACCAGGAGGAGGGGCCCGAACGACTCACACCAGGACGAGGGGCCCGAACAACTCACACCACGAGAAGCCCGAACGACTCACACCAGGACGAAGAGCCCGAACGACTCACACCACGAAGAGCCCGAACGACTCACACCAGGAAGAAGGGCCCGAACGACTCACACCAGGACGAGAAACCCCAAACGACTCAAACCACGAGGAGCGCTTTCTCTCCCTCCTCCTCCGCCTCGTCCTTTTCCCGCTCCCACCACAAGGAGGATGTACAAGGAGGCGGGAGGAAGGAGGAACAGGGGAGATATGCGGGGGCAGGCGGAAACACGCCTGAAAAAAACGACTGTCGACATGCTTCGCAAGAGTTGCTGTTTTGAGATGGGCTGGTGGGGATGCGCGAAGCGTAAAGAATTTTGTTGCGCCAACGTTGCAAACAGCCGAATCATAAAGCTCAACATGCGTTACAAACAATCGATCTGCGAAACCCGATTAGGCAAACAGCCAAAAATGAACAGACCCAATTGTGGAAATAGAAAGATTGCGAGACCCAGTTTCGCAAACAGAAAAATTGCGAGCGTCAATCTTGCAAAGAGAAGCGTTGCAAGCGCCCGTTTTCATGTTATAAGGCTAGCGAATTTCCCCCCGCCCTGGCCTCAACAACATATCCGTTTTGTCCTCCCCCTCTTGTTCCTCCACAACGCCACACTCGGCGACAACTTTCTTGGTTTCAGAACTTCCTCCGACAACTTTCTTGTTTCCAGAATTTCTGCCGACAACTTTCTTGTTTTCTGAATTTATGCCGACAGCCTTCTTGTTTTCAGCATTTCGTCCGACCGCTCTCCTGTTTTCAGAATTTCTTCCGACAGCTTTCTCGTTGCCGGAATTTCTTCCGACAGCTTTCTTGCTTTCGGAACTTATGCCGACAATTTTCTGGTTTCCAAAATTTCTGCCGACAGCTTTCTTGTTTTCAGAATTTATTAAGACAGATCTCTTTTTTTCAGAATGTCTTCCGACAGCTTTCGTGGTTTCAAAATTTCTTCCGACAGCTTTCTTGTTTTCGGAATTTTGCCCGACAACTTTCTTGTTCTCAGAATTTATGCCGACAGCTTTCTTCTTTTCAGAATCTCTTCCGGCAACTCTCTTATTCCCAAAATTTATTCCGACAGCTTTCTTGTTTTCAATCGTTCTTCCGACAACGCCTACAAGAGCGGAGACATCGCTGCCGGCCAAGACCCGGCAACTCGGTTGCCCAACATTTGTTGTTTGCAAATTATAAGGCCAGCTTTTTCTGCAATCCGCTAGCCTTATAACATGAGAAATTCTCATGTTGGGCACTCGAGTTGTCGGCTGTAAGGGATTTAAATTGACCCGACAACTCGATGCCCCAAATTAAAGATTCCTCATGTTATATGGCCAGCTTTTTCGCCCCGCCCTACCGTTAACAACATATCCTGATTGTCCTCCTCCTTCCTCCACAACGCCACACTCGGCGACAACTCTCTTGTTGTCAAAACTTCTGCCGACAACTTTCCTGTTTTCAGAATTTCCTCCGACAGCTCTCTTGTTTTCAGGATTTCTTCCGACATCTCTCTGTTT